ACTAAATTTGTATAATCGATCCTTAATCGATCTTACGATGTAGATCTTAAGCAAATCAGCCAATCACACGAAAGTCTTCCTATGTACTGTGACCAAATTTCCAAAATAAAATCACATGCCTCCGGAAAAATTTCTGCCGAAAAGTAATGTGATACACGTATTGTGTAACCGATTACATACCCATGCCGGTAGTTTTTCAATGTAGTATCTCAGATACTAAATTCCGATATTGGTTATCTTTGCTAATCGTGTATTTGTCACGTGAAAACGACTAACGCGACATACCCTCTTACACGTTTGTCTGTCTTTTTGCTGGTATCTCCTCCGACTTTTTTCCCTTTATCGGACGAGTTCATTTTTTCTTTTTTCACATGAACATGTCTTCACCCGAACACTACCCTGGTTATATTGGTAAGTTTTGTGGCTCAACTTGCGATCCGAATATTTTCTTTCCAAGTTTGTCTGATGTTTCCAGCTCTTCTCTCTTACCTGAACGAGCACACAAGCTGGTCGTACTACGAGTTTCTGACTCTTTACCGTGATGTCATTGTATTGTCACCACCTTTTTCGGATGAGTGGAACGGCCTCGACGGCGCTTGGACTCACAGATTTTTAAAAAAAGCAGAAGCGCTCAATCCAAAAGATTTTGAAATTTTAAAGGTCAAGGTAACATTTTCTTTTATTTAGCCAAGGGGGCTCCTGGTTAGTCTACGTTCTAATCAGGAGTATCAGTCTACGTTCTGGCCCGAGTGATGGTGGTGGCGCTCTGGGTCAGTCTGCGTTCTGACTCAGAGTATTAGTCTACGTTCTAAGCCTTCACCATTGCGAATCTACATCTTATCTTGCTTGAAGTTGCTATTTTGCTGTCAACTTTTCGTTATTCTACGATTAACTCTACTTTTTCATTATTGCCAAATTTATACCCCCTAAATATGTTTCTCACGACAGGTGGATTCTGAACGTTCAAAAAATGGGTTGCAGGCCTATTGGGAGGGAGTAATCCATAAACGGAAGAAGGTAAATCGAGCTTTGTATATTACTGCCTTTCATTCTTACCAAGATGTCGCTAACCTTGACCAACATGCAAAATAGCTTGCAGTGAAACGCACCCACGTTCTTGGCAGTCTTAGTCTTTTAGACGAAGCCGGGAAATACAATGTTGACGATCTCTCTTCCGAAGGATTCTCGGACTCCTTCCTCGTTGACGTGTCATCCACATCCAAACACGCTCTTGATAACAAGGGTTTAATTTCTCAGAGGGCTAAGAAGGTACAACTCGCAGATAATGATTTAGTACGTAAAAACAACACCTGACCTTTTAATGTGAATGTAGATTAAAACAACCAGTAAAGATGAGTCAGTGGATTTGGAAGAGAATGGTATAGGAATATATTCAGAAGACGACGATGAAGAACTTGAGGACCATACAGTTTCCAATGAAGAACTACCATGTTGGTCATCTTATGAAAAAACGTTCCAAGAAATTTCAGAAGACAAAAAATGGCGTTTGTCATCATCACAGAGAAATGTAGAAGATGTTCTTCATGCATATGCGTTGAAATTGGAGAAGGAGCAATTAGCTCATTCCTTCATTGTTGACACATCAGATGATAGTATCAGGGGATTATTTTCGGAAATTGAATGGAGGGAAATTATGAGTGTTAATAAGAAAACTGTGCCAGCCATTGACAGAAAACTTGGAGAACATTTGCTAAAATATAAAAAGAAGACACCTTCCGCAATGCGAATGCACATCATGAAACCCTGGTTAAGCGGAACATATAACAGAGACGAGCATTTTGATTTCCAGTACGTACACCAGGTGTTTTCATACCTCCTTGACGAATACGAATCCCCAAAGAATCAACTGTTGCAACCACATTTGGAAGGGTGGTATGCGATTAATATTTGGAGTATAATGATTGATAAAGCATTCTTAAATGTCCAAGACATCGAACTTGTCCGTGGTGACTCAGTGAGCGTTGCTTCGGGCAACCGAAAAAAGAAGGCCGAGAAGGGAACAAATGGACGTCGACCTGACGGCATTTTCAAAAGTACAGTTAATAACCATGAATATGGAGGAATTGAAGTAGCAAAAACATGTCAAGGCCCACATGATAAGAAACAATTGGGTGATTCTTTGAAACTTGGAAAACTTCTGAAAGATATGTTCGATCAACTATCAAGTGTGGTCAACCATAACGAAGCAGTGGTCAAGGAAATAGAGGTCGTCGGTTTATTGCATTCGCGTCTTCAATTGCAACAATTACTCGTGGATTACGGAGGTGGCTCGTGTTTACGCCTCATAAAAGAAGTAACAACAAATGTTCCTGTGTATCTGAATGATGTGATGGAGCTCATCAATATGATCATATCTATCCTTCGAGCGAAATTGAGAGTCCAACGTTGCATCGCAGTGTTAAAAGACGATTCTGAGGATGCATCGTTCTTACGAGAAATTACACAACCACCCTCAACTCCACCTAATGAGCAAGCAGGTTATCTTACAACTTCCAGGACCGTTACGTGTCCAACCTTCAAGTCTCCAGAAAAGGCTACTAAAGTTAAAGAGGTAACCATAAAGTATAAAAAACCTTCAAATCTCCAGAAAAGGCTACTAAAGTTAAAGAGGTAATCAAAAAGTATAAAAACATTAGTGCTTAGTTCTGAGTTAAAATTATGAGTAATGGCTATTTTACGATCATGAATAAAGTTACACACATGACCCAAATCTGGCCAAAAATTCCTAATGATGTCATTGGCCTCGGAGATGTTCTAAGCTCATACATAAACTTTACCCAATTCCGCAGTAGCGTCATTGATATCTAGAGTGCTCTGACTCCTGATGGTTGCTTACCTTTAAATCGCCACGAACTTCCGGAGATATTTTTTTCTTGGCAAAAGTAATCGACGTTCTGTTTCGGAACGCGCGCGTGATTTTTTATTACATACACGTATATATTCTCAAACTCGGCGTTTTGAATAAATCCATTTTCTATATAAAACCGTTAATAACTACTCATGTCATCAGAATTGGAATTACTGAAACAGCGAATCATTGCGCTTGAGGTTGAGAACACCAAGGTTAAAGCTGAGAATGCAGAGCTTAAACACGAAAATACAAATTTAAAACAGATTATAGAAGACAATGTCAAGTTTAAGGCCAAAATCATGAAACTGGAACAAACTGTTGATAAAATCGAGAAGCGGGACCAAAGTATTAATAATGATTTTCAGCGTGAGCTGGCACATTCGTACCAAGTCAATACACCCAAACAGATATCTCAAAATGACTCACCTAAAAATACACCCGATAACACACTCAATTATTCCAACATCCATCCACCTGAGCCCATATCACTGGAAGATAAGATGGTCGATGAATTTGTGAATTCAATGTATAAGGAACAGGTTAGTAATGATATAATTCAGAGCATTAGGGAAAAAAAACTTCGAGATCAAGAGTTACTCTCAACTTCTGAGAATAATATTTGCCGTGAGCAAAGTTTAATACAAGAAAAATGCCAAGAAATTTCCGTCACGAATCGTGACGATCAACAAAAAAAACTTTTCAGATCCTGGTATAGAAATGAAAAAACATTTATCGCAGGAAAGTCCAGGGAGCAAGTCTCCAAATCATAACATTTATGTGTCTGAGGAGCCTGATGAAATTGAGCCCACTAAAAGTCAGTGTATAGAGCAAGGATTAACGAAACAATTGCAATGTAATAGAGACATTGTCTCACCAGTTTCCTTAGAGATTACGGAGCATCAATTATCTCAAGTTACAATGCAGAGATTAGTCTGTTTATTCCAAAATGCAATACGGGCTAGACATGAAGAAATCCTATCTTGGTACTATTACTCTGATAGTTTTGAAAATAAAGTTATCGAAATTTGCCATGAGACTGGTGTTACAGATAAAACTGCTAGAACACAATTATACAAGGAAATGTTAAGTCATCTACCTGGTATTACATCGGGAAACTTGCGTATGAAAACTTTAAGAGCCAAGAAAATTCGGATGTTATTTGGAAAAAATGGAGTTGGAATAGAAAAAATTAAGCAAGTTACCTATAGTATATATGCCATTTCAAGCCTTACTAATAGTCAAATTCAAAACGTTATCAAGAATGTAACTTCAGTAGAACCATTATTGATAAATCATAATCATGTAATTTCAAAAACTGTCACGAAATGTGACGATCAGACTAATGCAAAGATAAGTGTCTCATCTAATAATATATTGCCGGAAAATAAGATGTGCATTGGCACTAGCTCTGCTATCCCATCTATAGATCATGCAAGTGTATCATCTATACCATCTGCCTTAAAACCCATTACTGAGAAAGCCTTACCTGAAAAGCAGAATAATCTAATCTAACTCATGATCGTGATTATTTTCGTAATAAAATATTAGGTCAATATCCTGATATATATAGAGAATTTAGTAGTGAAAATTTTGATTATTATGGAATTATTAATAAGTAGTTATGTCCAGCATGTAAATTAAGTCATAAGGATGAGAAAAGTATAAGAGGTAGATATGAAGCTGGATCTTATTTTATTAAATGTGGACAAGAAGAAATTGAAATAACTGTGTAAGTAAATAATTACATAAACCTGGTCAAGTGAATAGCAATATTTTTTTTCTTGATAGCTACGTGATTTTGAATTGACTTGCATTAATATAAAACGATAACATGTCTCCTGATACTACCTTCAACAAGATATTAACTGCTGACTATTGCAAATGACATGCTAATTTAGTTGATTTACCAAGTTCTTAGACAGATAAAATTCGTTCTAGATTATATAAAGCATATATGGAAGAGATTGGACTCGATTCTTGAATAAAGTTTGAAACTTCTGAATTCTCACAAAATGAAAATGCTGATAATCATATCATACAAGACAGTTCATTGAAAACTCAGGTGAGAGTACTACAGATGAATGTTCTATCTATATCATCTAATTAACAATTCTCAATTTCTGTTTTACCTAAAAATTCAGAAGAGAAACAAAAACATGTTATTAAAATGGTATTAGAGCAATTTTCTTATTTAACTCTAAAACATAGTTTTAAATATAGTAATTACTTTGATTTTAATAGATTAGTACCCTGCTCTTTATGTAATAAAAAAGAAAATATAAGAAATTATATAAAGAGTTTTTGGGGTAGTGGTGAATATTGTGGTGAAAAAACTTATCGTCTTTATTGCTATACAAATAAATATCAGAATTCAATTCAAATTGTATCTATAAAGGCATAAACTATTGATTTCGAATATTGATATGTTATTGGTTAACTTAACTCGATATTATAGTATATTCAATTTTTTCAGACATATAATAGTCGTATAGTCACATCAGGAAATTAACCGGAGGCTAGCAAAACTTGTAGTACACCCCGAAATAGATTTAATATCTGAAAATAGATTCTGTTCCCAAAATAGATCATGTAACAATTATCACAGATATAGAATGATGTATTATTAGTATATGTTACTGATTACTGACATTCTCACGCTTCTTTTTTTTCGCAAAAGTATACACTATTTGTCTTGAGTAGAATATCAGCTCTAGGAATAAATTCTAACAGCTTGTCGAGTAGTATTGCTTTTGTCTTTTTATTATTAATACATTGTGAACCTTTTCCAGTATGTCACAAAAAAAAACTGGTCAAGAAGTCTTCACGCCACAATCATTATAATAAAACGTAGACTTGAAAAGGAGCAAAAACCAACTATACTAAACTCTAATATAGTTGTATCAATTATACTGATTGAGCTGACTATAATCTCAATAACAGATGATATTATTTTTGATCCAAATAGAGTATATATTATTGATTAAAGATTTTAGAATTTTGTTTTATAGCTATGATTATTTTTGTGTTGACAGATCAAGTTTCTTAGACAATTATTGAAGTTTCCTTTGGAAACATGTGGTACAACAGACGCATGAATATTATTCCACAATAATTTGTTCTGGAAGATTCATTCAATTCACATAAATATCAAATCGAAGGGACAAATCTTTTATTGTTAAGCAATAGCTTTCATCTGCAAGACTGGTTCAAAACTATAAATATTTTTACCGATTTCGATGATAACTTTGATGCTAATTTTATAGAACTTATCGATATATTTATCAATAGCACCAGATCCAATATGCGACTCGTGATTTATGTATTCAAGACAAAATACTTTATATTGAAAAAGAATGGAAGAGCGTTGCTTTTAATCTATCAGATTGCATAGCGTCAAAAGGAGATAAAGTCAAGAAAACATTTCAGTAGATGAATTATTGTTAGAAACATTAATTTGAGATGCTATAATAAAAAGAATCAAGCTATCTGAGATCTCATCCAATTTTTTAACACTTGTCGATAATGAAATAATCAAGGCTAAATATGTTAACAAAGAAAAGCTCTGAACTGATAATCTAGATGAGCATTTATATATTTCTCTTGGTCAATGGCTTGGAATGAAAGAATCGCTCATTAGAAGAAACGTACATCAACATCTCCAGCATAAATAGAAAAAGATTAGACATGCTATGAATCTCTGAAATGATATTGATTCACAAGGCTCTTCAAATATAATAACTGAATATATCTCTCGAAAGAAAAAGATCCAACTGATAATTTCTGCACGTGATAATTTATATTCTTTAAAAAGATTAGTCCAGTTTTGATATATTGTAAAGTCAGAGTGTGTTACTGATATAAATGGATGAACTTTAATACATCTCAAAAATCTTTATAATCCAAATGCCATTAATTACTACTATTTTCATACATTGAATAATCCATCTCATCAAAGTGACGAGTTCTGATCAAATTTTATTGAGCACTTTAGTACATATACTCTATATAATCTCTTTCCCTATACCAGCTTAAATACCGCCAGCTCGCATAATATTGATCACTTAAAATGCGTAAATAATTTACTTCACCAATTAATAACACTATCAGATTCCATTAATCACTTTATTGAGAGTTATTATAAAGTTTATATGAGAAGCTATCTGAATTAAAATGGGAGGTATTTTTTCTGAAATCCTTTGGTATATTCCTGATGATCATGATTAATTTCAATACAAGAAGTGATTTTTACTGGGATGAGCACAACAATCCAAATTCCTTATGTTGCTTGGTCATATTGGGTGATTTTGAGGGAGGTGAACTTTGTTTTTCACAACTTCAGATTGTAATTCCACTAAGACCAGAACAGCTTGTGGCATTCTCATCACGCTTCTTGTTACATGGTAATCTTTCAATCATGAGTGATATTTGATATAGCGTCATATATTTCGTTCACAGTACCTTCTTCTATAATTTACATGATTTTTCTTCTGTCTATAGTAATTTTAAGAATGGAATTGAGCAGGATGTGAATGAATCAATTGTTCCTACAATTCCTTGACAAGACTTGAACAATGCAAATGGATTAAACTGCATAATCAAACTTGACAAGCCAAAAACCAATCAGATTCGAGTTCTGCCGTCATCCACTGATTGTAGAAGAGGACGTATCAGTAAGTAATTCTATTATAACTTGTAGATTAAAAACAAATCTTAATAATCAACTATTTTCTTTTAGATCTGTTGCGTGCTCGATGTGAATTGAAGATCGAGGATCTATTACTAGATGGGATATAATTTGATACTTATATAATGAAAAATTTAAGTATTTTAATGTAGGGTGAAGCCCATTGCTTTGCAATAAATATATTACTGATTATCACAGGTTAATAAAGATTTTCACATATACTGTAAATATATCAATTATAATTATTTTTTTTTCTTGGCAAAAGTGATCTGCATTCCAAATTGGAACAGAAATTCTAATTAAAAATTAAATAAATCTGTTTTATATAAAAAGTTACTAAAATGCAATCTGAGTTTGATTTATTGAAACAATGAATTATTGATCTTGAGGCTGAAAATGCGAAGCTAAAACAAATTATTGAAAAAAATGCTAAACATAAAGCTGAGAACATTAACCTTAAGATAGAACTAGAAAATAATAAAAAAGATATTACCTATCTTTCAGCTAAAAATTCTGAGCTTAAAATCAAAGTAGCAAAATTAAGCTGTGATTTCGAAGAAATAAAATCAAAGGGAATGATTACTGATTCTCTGAAGTAATTCTGAAAAAAGATAGTAAGTGTTTCTACTGAAATGAAAAATTCTAGCGTTATCTCCGAACAAATAGATATACAAATTGGGGATGTTTCAGCATTAGATATATCTGATGACACTTCAAATTCTGATGATATTCCCATAAAAGAACTTTCGCCACCTAATGAGAGTCAACCAAATTATTACTCCTGATTCTATAATTGAAATAGAACATAGCTCAACCCAGGTCCAAAAAACTGAATCATTTATAATCTCTTTGTCACAAAATATTATCGATGATGATACAGATGAGACTCTTGATTTTGTAGAAATAAAACATAAAGAACATGTTAGTAAAGAGATAATAAAAAGAATTAGAAAAAAGAAACTTTGAGATCAAAATTCATCTTTGAATAGTACTTCATCAGAATCATTTTACAAAAATCAAAATCTGAAATTATCTATAATATCACAATCTATCTCTAATAGTTCTGAATTATCTTTAGATAATAATTCATTATGTGATTCTGAGTTCAAATCATCTACTAACGTATTATCTAATCAAAGACACAAAACACTTTGCTCTGCAAAAATTTCTTATAATCAAAAGGTAGAACGAGATTTAAGACTCAAGCTATCTATTTGCACCAAAGATAATAACCACAAGATTAGTAATGTAATTGATATACAGATTCCTGAATTCTCTATAAAAGCAATTCTAATAGGATCTAGTGAAATTACAGCAGAAAATATTTATTTAACATTGCTATGAAGACTAGACAAAAGGAAATTTTATGCTGGTATTATTATTATAAAGCGTACGAGAATAAGATTAGAAATATTAAGACTATGAATAAAATTAATGACAAATCTGCAAGAATATTGATATATAATATCACTTCTACCTGATGTTACTAATGTAAACTTGCGTAAAATAACTTTCAGAGCTAAAAGAATTTATAATTTATTTGAAGATATAGGAATAGATAAAATTAGTCAAGTAACTTATAATGCAAGTGCCATTTCAAGTCTAAAGAATATTCAAATTCAAAGTATTGTGAATGAGTTTTCCAAGAAGTTGATTGATATGAATTGCCAAAAAGTGATTAGTGTGACAAATAATATATCAGACACTAAGGTAAATTCATCTCCCATTTCTATCGATTTGAAAATCAAGGTGAGTGAAGAAGCCAAGAAAGTATTACTGGAAACTAGGATAAATGTATTGCCTTCAGATACAAAAACCAATATTATTA